CCTCCAGCTCCCGCAGCTTGGCAGCGGTGCAGCGGGCTTGGCGTCGCCGAAAGGGTTGCTGCGCGGGCCGGGCGCCGCGGCGGCGCCTCCCGCCGCCCCCTCCCCCGCCTGGCTGCGCGGCTGAAGCACGAGCTTGGGGCGCTCGCGAGGGCTGCCGGGGCCCTCGCCTGCGGCATCAGCCAGCCCAGCGGCAGCAGGGCGGCGGGCGGGTGAGCGCAGGCGCGCAGAACGGGGATGGAACGCGAGGCAAGCCACACGCAGCACAGCGCAGCGCAGCGCAGCGCCCGCCTTCCCAACCCAGCCTCTTCCCGGAGCCATTGCAGCGCCGGCTGCGGGCACACGGCAGCGGCGGCGGCGGCGGTTTACCGGCAGGCGCGCCGCGGCGAGGCGCCCAGTCCCGCTCCCTGTCGCCTCCCCCAAAGCCGTAGCCGCCGCGCTCCCTCTCGCCGTACCCGCCGCCGCGCTCCCTGTCGCCGTATCCTCCTCCCCGCTCCCGATCGCCGTAGCCGCCGCCGCGGTCGCGGTCGCCGTAGCCTCCTCGCCGCCCAAACCCGCCCTCCTCCTCGCGGTCGCGCCGCCCAAAGCCGCCGCCGACCCTGCGCAGGCAGCGCCAGGCGTGTGGGAGGCTCCAAGTGAGAGCACAAAAGGCGTGGCGGCAGGCATGTGCGGCAGGCACGCCGGCAGGCCCTGCGCACACCCACCCTCCCAGATCACACGCTTTGCTCCCTCCTTCACGCATGTTGCTCCCTCGCTCCGCGCTCGCCCAGGGCCCGGGCCCCCAGCTGCCCACTCAGCCACCACCGCCACCACGGCCACCACCACCACGGCCACCACCCGGCCCCGGCCCCCACCTGCGGTCCCCAAAGCCCTCGCGGCGCGGCGGCTCCGCCACTTGGACCCGCACCGGGCGCCGCATCATGGGCTCGCCATCTGCAGACAGCGCCTTGGACAAATGCTCCTGCAGGCAGGGAGGGCAGGGTGGGGGGGCAGGCAGGCAGGCAGGCGGGCGAGGAGGCGAGGAGGTGAACGAAGGGTGGGCAGGCAGGAGGCGGCAGCCCGGGAGCGGGGCACGTGCACAGGCATGCGCTGGCGCGGCGGTGCGAGGGCTGCCTCGCCGGCCGCGCCGATGCGCTGCGTGGCACCCTGCCCGCCCCCCTCAGCCTGCCGCACCTCGCCCCACACAACGCACCTGGCTGCCAAACTCCACGAAGCAGCCCTTGGGCTTGCCGGTGTCGCGGTGGCGGGTGATGATGATGTCGACAATCTGTGTGGCAGCAGCAGCGGCCCGGGGCAGGCGGCAAGCGGGAGTGGGCAGGCGGGAGTGGGCAGCGGCACATCCAGGCAGCGGCACATTTGAGCGGCAGCCCCGGCCTGGGGAAACGCCTGACTGCAGCCTCGGGCCTGCTGTCCCAGGCTGCAGCCGCTCAGCGGCTAGCAAGGCAGGGGCATGCACGACAGGCTCTGCCGGCCCCGGCGCTGCTGCCCGCAGCCAGCCAGGCGGCTGACACGGCGTGCAAGCCCACCTCCAGGCCCTGGAAGAAGTCTGCCACCACCTCCTCGTCCAGATCGTAAGGGATGTTGCCCAAATAAGCTTTGAACGGGGGCCGGTCGGGCAGCGGCGGGCCAGCGGCAAACGACGGAGGCCCGTCGTACGGGGGCCGCTCCTCCCCAGGGTAGTGCGGCCTGGGGGAGGCTTGCGGCCCTGGGCTGGTCGGGTAGGGCGAGCGGGGAGAGGTCAGGCCCTGCAAGCTCTCCACTGCAGGCAGCATGCAAGGGGAGGGAGACCCGGTCAGCATCCCCGTGCCTGGACCAGCGGCGCTCTCTGTGAGGCTGTGGATGACCTGTGAGGGCCTGGACGGCACAAGGGGGCGGCATGCAACGCGCGATCGAGGGCGCCGCACCTCTCTGCATCTCCGCCTCATCCTCCTCAACATCATCGGCCCAGTTGGTGCTAGCAAGTGTGCTAGACCGCGTGAAAGGCTTCTCCGCCTCCATCCCTGCGAAGTTTCCCTTCGAGGCGAGCAAACCCTTCTCAAACACGAAAACTGGCGGCTTGGCGGACAGCAGGTGCTGGGCAAAGCGACAATGACGCTTGGCGAGGGCCCTGCAGTTCTTTTGGAGCGCCAGGGCGCTATCCCTGGTGGAGCGCCAGCGTGGCGGGATGGCCCGCCGCCAGGCGATGACGGCGGCGGGTCCTCAACCTGCAGCGCGCCATTTGACCTCCTCCTGAGTGAGTGAGTGAATTATCACTGGTCTTTGGTGTTGGACAGCACAGCAGGAAATCATGCCCAAAGCCTGATCCACCAATTTGCCCACCGCACACTCCGCGTTGGTCTGCCTGGTACCGTTACATGCGTTCGCTTTCGCTGTTGCCCCGCGCTGCGTGTCCCTGGAAAATTACAGTCAACCCACTGGAATACTTTCCTGATTACAATAGTAGCACCGGGATGCAGCCTGCTAAACATAAAACAGCAACAGGGCGCGGCGGGCGGGAGCTGGCGCCGGCCGCGAGGGAGCGGTGGCCCCTTGGATGGCATGTGCAGATTTCAGATGGCATGGCACATCCCAGGGGTCTTGCACAGCTAATGGCACGGGGGTGTGGGCAATGCCAGGTGAATATTCAGGCCGGCCCCAGGGGCCACATCCTCGGCCGGCGGCGGTCACACCGCCCGTCGTCCGCGGCGCAGCAGCTGTCATGCTGGCCCGGGCTCGCTCTAGTGCCCAGCCTGCCAACCAATTACGTCAAAAAGCCCGGCAACCTAGCTTGGGCGTGCAGTGGGCGTGCCGGGCGGCCGCATGGGCGCCTGCGGTTCCCGGCCAGCAAACGTGAGTGGCGCCCACACAGCAGAGGCACACTGCTGAGGCACACTGCTGAGGCACCGACTGATTGGCTGCTTGCCCCCGCTGCAGAGAGACGGCACCCGTGCCGAGGCGGCGGCGTCGCCGTCGGTGGCCTCGGTCGGCGGCAACGTGGCCGTCGCTCTGGGCACGCCGGCAGGCCTGCACAAAGCAGGCGGCGTCGGCGAGCGCAAGGCAGCGAGCCAGCACCCAGCAGCCGCGCCGGCCTACCACGTGGTGCCGCCGGTGATGGAGGCGGCGGATGAGGAGGGGCGGCTTCGCGCGGTGCGCGCCCTGCACCTCATCGGCGCGCCGCCGCAGCCCAAGTTCCAGATGGCGACGGCGCTGATGAAGCAGATGTTCGAGACGCCGGTGGCGGCGGTGACGCTCATAGACGTAGACCTCCACTTTGTGTCGCGGGCGGGAGACTGGGCGTGCAGCGCGGGGCGCCCGGGCAGCTTCTGCGACTGGCTGCTGGTGCCCGAGACGCCCCGCATGCTGATTGTGGAGAACGCTCTGGAAGACGCCAGGCACGCCAGGCCGGCCGCCGCCGCCGAGCGCCCCGCCCCGCGGCCGCCGCAGCCGCCGCCGCTGCCGCGTGTTGCTTGCTTGCTGGTGTGGGCTTGCGGTCTGGCTTCAAGAGCAACCTTGCAGCGCAGGCTTTGTTGCGTTGACGTAGCGATGTGAGAGGAGGGGTGTGCTCACCGCCACCGCCGCCACTCCCGTTGCTCCCATTGCTCTCCTGCAGGTTTAGGTCCAACAAGTTTGTTGTGGGCGAACCATACCTGCGATTCTACGCCGGGGCGCCGCTGGTGTCGTCCTATGAGGAGGGCCACCGCTATGGTACGGGCGTACGGGTCTGCTGCTGCAGCCGAGCAAGCAACCCGCGCGGCAGGGACGCCCGGGGCGCCGGCGCCGCGCCTCGTGCCCTGGACCGCCACCCGCGGCCACGCGCCTCACGCCCCGCGCCCGCGCCGCGCCGCCCTCTCCCTCCCCCCGCAGGCACGCTGTGCGTGTTCGACTTCCGTCCGCGCCGCTTTGATGCGGGCAAGTATGCCATGCTGGCGCACTTTGCGGAGATTGTGGTGCGGGAGATGGAGCGCGACATGGTGAGGCGCCAGGCTGGCGGGGCGCCAGCCTGGCACCGGGCCGCCCGCTCGCACCCCACGCCACCCCCAGCCCAGCCACCCGCTCACTCACCGCGGAGCGACCTGCCGGCTCTGGACGGGGCCGCCGCATGCCTGCCTAGCGCCGGCGCGCGCTTGCGACCTGCCGACAGCGCCGTGGGTGCTTGGGCGCCGAGCGGCGTGCGGGCAGCGTTGGCACCCCTTGCCCCGTCCGCCGGTTGTTTGCGGGCTTGCCGCCGGCTTGCCGCCGGCTTGCCCGCTGACCAGCCCCTTCCTGCGCCTCTGCCTCCCGCCTGCGTGCCGCTGCCCTGCAGGTGATGCAGCAGCAGCAGCGGGAGATGGGGTGCGCTCGGTCGGCTGAGAGCCACCTCATGCGGGCAATGGATTCCTTCCAGGGTGGGTGCCCCCAGGCGGCGCCAGCGGTGCAGCGGAGCCGCGCCGGCGGCGGCGGCAGCAGGAGGGGGCTTGCTGCGAGGGCGGGCCGGCCGGCGGTGCTGGCCCTGTTGCTGCGGGCGCATGCGTTGGGAGCATGCCCAGCCAGCCGGGCCTGCCTGCCCGCCTGGGTCTGCCCGCCTGCCTGGGCCTGCCCGCCTGCCTGGGTCTGTCTGCCCCTGTGCCACCTGGCACGCGCCCAGCATGCCCAGCATGCCCTCCACACCAACACCTCCCTCACCGCCCCGCCCTGCCGCAGAGGGCATCGTACTGCTGGATCTCTCCTCCGCCTCCTGGCGCATCCTCTATGCAAACGACTCCTTCCGCCACACAGCCGGCATGCCCGACCTCGCAGCCGGCGAGGACGGCGAGGCGGGCGGCGGCGGCGGCGGCGGCGGCGGCGGCGGCGGGGCCCAGCCAGCCGCCTGGGATTTCTGGCAGCTGTTCAGCCACGTGACAGCCGGCACGCAAGGCTCCTACAACGTGTGCCGCCTGCCGCCGCCCGCCGCTGCCGCTGTGGCATCTGGGTGCTGCTGCTGGGCAGCTGCAGGGCTGGGCAGGGGCCCAGGGCTGCGCTGGGCTCTCCCGCGACGCGCGGGCGCCCCACCGCTCGCCCCGTCCCAACGGGCTGCTCCCTGGCTGTGCCCCCCACCCCACCCCGGCCCTTCCTCTCCCCCGCTGCGCAGGCTGCCCTGCTGGCCATGGCCACAAGCAAGGAGTTCAGCATCCAAGTGCGGCCCATGCGGCGCAGCAGCGGCGCCGCCAACGGCATCCCCGCCGGCGGCGGCGGCGGGGCGCTGGCGCCGCCCGTGCTGCTCATGCGCTTCCGCCCTGCAGACAGCGAGCAGCTGGGGGCCGGCATGCCGCACATCGGCATACCCGCCTGGATCGACTCGGCAGCCAGGTTGGCAGAGGAGGAGGCGGGGCGGGGAGGCCGCGGCGGCGGCGCCGCCGACGGCGGCGCGCTGGTGCCCGCCGGCGGCGCAGGCGCAAGCGCGGCCCCGGGCCGCGCAGCTGCCTCCGCAACCAGGCGGCCGGTCTATTACTTTGGTGTGGTCAAGGCTTCTGCCGAGACGCTCTCCCCGGCCGCAACTCATGGCAGCGCGCCCGCCGTCAGCTCCAGCACCACACCTGCCAGCAGCCTGGGCAGCGCGGCGGCCTCCTCCAGCCTGGCCAGCCTGGGCAGCGTGCCCGCCGCCAGCCTGGGCCCCGCGAGCGCCAGCCTGGCCACCGCCGCCAGCCGCGGCGCGCCGCCCAGCACGGTTGATTCCGAGCAGGTGCGCCGCATGTGGGCCTGCCTGCCTGCTTTGCCCGCCTGCATGCCCGGCGCTGCCCGCGTGCCCGCTTGGGAGGGGAGCCCCTCCCAAGCCCCAGCGCCTCCTGCCTCACCCTGCCTCACCCAACCTCCCTCCCTTGCCTCACACATCCTCGCGCCCACCTGCCCCGCCTGACCTTCTCTGCCCTGGGACCGCTTGTCCCTGTACCGCCTTGCACCGCAGAATCTCACCGCCCGCATGGAATCCAGGATCCTGCCCACCTTCATCCAGATGCGGCCAGAGGTGATGCAGGAGGTGTCGCTGGGAGCCCTGATCGGCACAGGATCCATGGGCCGCTGCTACCGCGGCATGTGGCAGGTGGGTGCGGGGGGAGGTGGCGGGGCGCTTCCAGGCCTGGCGGGCGTGCAAGGCAGCCGAATAGGGTGCCTTGGGGGTGCCCTACGTGTGTGGTGTGTGGCAGTGCAATGCTGTTGTGCCGG